CCGGCGCTGCAGGGGCGCGCGGGGGCGCGTTGGGGGCGAGCGCCCCTCCGCAGACTCTCCTTGGCGCTGGACGACTGCGGCCGGTCCCGGAGGTCTGGGCCCTGGACTGAAACGGGAAAGATGCTCCAGCGCTGCAGGACTCTGCAAGGGGAGTGGGAACAGCCTGGTCCCTAGCGCCGCACCTGGCGTCTCTATGGAAACCGACCTTTTTTGCTCCGGAACCTCTAGGGCGCCCCGGTCCCGGCAAGGCGAGAGGCCTAGGGCGCACGCGGCCGTCTCGGGGCGCTTCAAGAGCTGGCCCCACACCCTTTTTTGGGCATACAAGTTTTTGGTGTACCCCAACCCCCGAAAGAACCCGGTAACCCCGAATTCAACTCGTCTTGAGCACTCCCACCCCTGGCCGCTTTTGAAGGGAAGGAGGGAAAAACTTCGAGAGGGGGAGGGGAGAGCCGAGCAGACGCAAATGACTCAGCAGTGGCGCTAAAGCCACTTGGGACACCGGCCCAGGGGGCCGCCGCGGCCGCTCGGGTGTCTTGTCCGCCTTTGCTGCCTGCCTGGGGAGAAGGCCCCTCCAGCTCTCAGCGCCTGCTCCCAGCCCCTCGTTATCACTCCACGGGAGACTGCTCCCGGGGGTCTCGGGGAAGAGGGTGTGTGTGTGTGTGTGTGTGTGTGTGTGTGAAGAACACCCCTGGAAGCCACCGGGGTCTGGGGTCTGGCAGTAGCACCGCCTCCGCAGCCAGTCCACAGGGCCCTGGGCTGAGGCCCCAGGCTTCTTGGACATGATGGGCCCGGCAGAGTCCTCAGCAGAGGAAGGCCTTGGCCCAGGTTGGCTTCTGGGGCCCATGGCTGTGGCAGGCTGGGGCCCTGGATCAGCTTGTGGGAGCTCTGGTGGCATAGTACCTAAGGCATTTGACTGCTAACCAGAAGGGTAGCAGTCCAAACCCACCAGCCACTCCTCAGAAGGAAGACTGGGCAATCTACTTCCATAGAGATGTTGTTGTTGTTGTTGTTGTTGTTATGTGCCGTCGAGTCAAACCTGACTTATAGCGACCCCTCCTTGGGTTTCCGAGGCAGTATCACTACGGAAGTAGGCTTGCCCAACCTTCCTTCCGAGGAGTGGCTGGTGGGTCCATAGTGGGTCCATAGTGATACCACCTCGGAAACCCGAGGAGGGGTCGCTATGAGTTGGGACCGACTTGACAGCAGTGAATTTTTTTTTTTTTTTTTTTGATCAGCTTGCATACCCTTGGGGACAGGGTGCTCACTCCCTCTCAGGACAGCTCCAACTGGCCTACAAAGCCTGATGCAAGAAGGCCCTGCCCGGGAATCACTTCCACGTGTCTCTGTAATTCCCTCTGGTGGAGGCCCGGCCTCACAGCGGTCTGTCTAGGGTCGGGAGCCCCTCAAGATAGAGACACTGGCTGAGGTCTTGTCCCACCAGCCCCTCAGTCACTATCCAGACAACGCAGTCTCTTGGTCACTAATTGTGCACCAACCGCCATGCCCTGCCCAGGGGAGGGGCTTAAGACAGGGGCCCAGCCCTGGCCGAATGAGCCAGCGGTTTACAAAACCCGCCCCACTCTCCTGGGCACCGCCCTTTCTGCACCTCTGCTAACCTGCCCCTCCCAGGAATGCAGTACGCACGCACTATGCACGCGCGCACGACGCGCGTGGGGCTCCAATCGTCCCCTTCCGGACCCCAGGCCCTTCCCCCGTGGGGGTGTCTCCGAGCGCTGGTCTCAGCCGCCGTTTTACACCGGTGGCATTAAATAAGCAGAGCGGTCGTCTCCCCCTGAACCCTGAGGCCCCGAGGGCAGGGCCCGCTGTGCCTCCTTGGCCTGTGTCCCCAGGGCCAGCAAGATGCTGGGCACTGTAGGAATCCGCACCGTCCCAGCCCTACCATCCGGCCACATGAGCCCCACACAGCGGCCACGGGCGTCTTGGGGTGGTCACGGCGGCTGACCGGAGAGTCCACGTGAGGTCGGGGACTTCTGCGCCCCAGCCCTCGACGTCCTTCCGCAGCCTGCCTGGGTCTGGGCCCAAAGAGTCCCAGCCCGCGAAACTCGGTGGAGAGGCTTCGGGGACTCCTGGGGTCCCTCGGTTCCGGTGTGCGTGGTGGCACCGTGCGTCACCGCCAGAGGAGGGCCTGCTGCCTGGGTTCCCCAGCAGAGGTCCAGGACCAGGAGGGGCGGGTCTCTCCAGGCCCCGCCCAAGTCCGGCCTGGCCCCGCCCCCTGCCCCAGAGACACCTCCAGGCGCAGCGCGGGCAAATCCCCTAGGCCCAGGCTGCAGAAGCTTGGCGGGCCCAGGATGGGCTCCGAGTACGTGACGGGGACTCCTTGGGGCTGTCTCCCGGGACAAGCACCTGGTGGCTGCACGGGGCCCATTCAGGGCATCCCGGGACCACTCCCACCGTAGATCCAGAACTTGGTCCAGTCTGCTTGACCCTTGCAGGCTGCGGCGCGACCCACTGCGGTTGGGCTGAAGACTAGGAGGGAGCCTTGCGGGGTGCGGTGGAGACGGCACTTGGGGGCAGGAGCTGGTGGGCTGACAGATCTCAGGAAGCAGACCGCCCCTCTCCCTGCCAGCAGCCAGAAGGTCTGCCCTCTGACCCCGTCCCCCTGTTGGGAACCTCACTGCTCCCCATTGAGGCCCTCTGGGAGCTGGCCTGCCCCACTGCCCAGCTCTTCTGTGGTTTCAAGATGAAGACTCGGTGGGGAGACAGGAATAGGGCAGGTTCCAGTCCAGATCCTAACCCCAGTAGGTGAGTGGGGGGTGCCTGTCAGCCACAGATCCCGGCCTCACTGTGCAGGCGGCCTCACTGGCTGGACCCAGCCAGGACGGCCCGTCCCCCATGAGCCTGTAGCTGGGGCAGACGCCTGCCCCTCCGAGTGCCTGGTTCTGTTGTGGGGTGAGAGGTGCAGGGCAGGCCGCTCTGTCCATCCCAGCAGGGAGCCGCAGATCAGGGGAAGGCTCACAGGGCAGAGGAGACCTGGGGTTTGGGCTCCCCAGCAGCCAGAGCCCAGCCAGCCCTTCCCAAGTCCCAGGGCCTGCCTTCTCTCCTGGCCCAATCAATCCAGCTTCAGGAGGTGCATGGGGGAACAGTGTGCCACTGACCTGGGACCCGGGGGAGAATCCCACCCCCTGGGCTCCAGGGCTGTACACTTTCGGGGTTAGAGAAGTGACGACTTGGGACAGTTCTTCCGTCAGGACAGCCGGAAAGCAGGCCTCTCTGGCCTCTGCTGGGTCCAGTGTGGAGGAGCTCTTTCAGGTCCCGGGTAAATGCCCAGAGGGGCCTCACTCTCCCGTGAGCCCAGCCAGAGGCACTCAGCTGTCTCCCTTCCCGGGGAGCACAGCCCACCTCAGTGTCGCAGCCGGGTCTCTGCCCCTGCTTCTCGCCATCCCAGCAAGTGTCACAGCTGTCTGTCTGTCTCCTGGGCCGAGGAGACACAGCAAAGGGACCTCGGGTCGCAGGACACGCTCTGCTCCTCGCTCGTCCTCCTTGATGGTAGTGAGAGCCCCCTTTCCCGCCTCTGGGCAGGCTCATTTAAGCCTGGTGGGATGGCAAAACCGACCGATCCCCACACTAGAGCTCCCCCCAAGGGGTGCCACGTACCTCAGTTACATTACTAACAAGCTGTCCGACCCTGTGGTGGGTCACGGGCACTCACATTTGGATAGCCCCACGCAGTCACCTGGCGGGAGCCACAAAGTACGGCCAGAAGGGCCATGCTAACTAATTCCCTGCGCTGCATGGCCCAGCCTGTCTGAGCTTCAGCCCCAGGGATGAGGAACCCCTACAGCAGGTGTGGCCACAGCTGACGAGGCGTGACGGGCTGTGGGGTGGCTGTAGGGTCACCACCGAAACCCCCTGCACCCTCGGGTCTCCAAGACCTGCTCCCTCCTTGGATCTCCCCATGTACCTTCCTGTTTCTTCCCACTCCCGCCCCTCATCTCTTTCTGTCCTGTACATCTGACTCCCCACGATGTAGCTCTGAACTGCGGAGGGGCCCGGAGGGGCTGGGGAGGACCCAGGCAGGCCTCAGAGACCGTCTGTGATGTGACAAGGTGACCAGCTTCCTGCACCCAGGGTCGGGTGGCTCGGGGGGAAACGGTGCGGCATCCCCAAGTTGGCCTGGGGCCTAGGTCTGCGAGCCCTCCCAGAGAAGAAAGGCCATCCTTGGACGCTGAACGGGCCCACCCGAGGTGTGTGCTGAACGTGCCCCCACCAGGGCGGGTGGGCACAGACCAGGCTGGGAGGCAGGGGCTGCAGGGATGTGGCCACTGCTCGGGTCACAAGGCCTGGCCTGGCCAGCTCCGTCCCCGTGCTCCGCCAGGTGCTACTGGCTGCCTGACAGTCATCAGCAAGGGCTGCCGCTGGCACTGGGTGGTGAACTCAGAGGACTACACCTGGGGACGAACACCACATGCTGCTCACCTGTGCAGCCAGCAGCTGCTGGTCTGGGGCCCAGGCAGCTGGAGGCTCCGGCCTGGGCCTGGCTTTGGCACACACCTCACCAGGCCAGCCTGCGCCCCTTCCATGCCGAAAATGCGTCTGGCCACGCAGCCCTCTAGTTCCCAGCCCTCCCCTGGCTCCATCGAGGGCTCCAGCCCCTTCTTCCCCACGGCCCACCCTCGGCTTCCTCAGGGTCACGCTGCTGCCGTTTCTACTGCTCTGTATTCCTGTCTCCCCTTAAGCTCAGCATCTCCTCGTCCAGGAGCCTGCCCTGCCCAGCCCAGGAGCTGAGCCGGGGGCCCACGGTTCCCTGCGCCCAGCCCAGGTGGCCCCTGCGCCCAGCCCAGGCTGGAGTGGAGCGAACCGAGCACAGCGGGGCAGGGGCTGTAAGGAGACGAGGCAGAGGGCGGCTCCTGGGACTTGGCTCCTGCCGCGCAGCCTAAGCCCCACGCCCAGCCCCGCGCCTCCCCTGCTCCCGTGCCCCCGTGCTCCTGTTCCAGCCCGGCCTCTCCCCCACACACCTTACAGGGCTTAGGCACGTTCAACACACACCTTCAGTGGCCTCGTTTAGGGTCTAGGGATGATGGCCTTTGTTTTCTGGGAGGGCTCGCAGACCTGGGGCAGCTGCAAGGTTTCTCCCAGAGCTGTCTGACCCCAGGCACAGGAGGCTGGTTCCTCCTTGCCCCATTCACGCCACGTACTTCTCCAGGCCCTGCCACATTCCAGGTGCTTGGGGTCACCTGGCTGGGTTCTCCCACTGCCAAAGGCTCCTCTTCCCTGGCAGCCTGCCGCCCCAAGAGCCTTTCTGAGGGAAGGCTAGCTGGCACTTCTCTCGCCCAAGGCTCCAGAACTGGGTGAGGGCACTGTCCAGGCCCAGCCCTCCACCAGGCAAAGTGTGTATGGCAGGCGACAGGCAGGCCAGAGCTCCGGCCCTGTGAGGACCTGCCTTTACCGGGAGTGCTCGGGCCACCCTGGCTGTGAATGGGGGTGGGGGGCTGAGGGAGTGGGTCTAGGCGAGGATGGGGGCCTGACCCTGTGGATGGGGGTGCTTGGGGGCCGTGCAGGCTCCATGAGACACTGGTGCCTCTCCCCGCCTCTTCCTCTCCTCCTGACCCTGCCCCCCTGCCGCGGTGCTGAGTGGGCAGGGCTGAGTGGACTCCGTCCTTGAGCTGAGGCCCAGGGTCTCAGAAGGATGCTGGAAGCCCCAAGCATCGTGACCTGGGCCCTGCAGGCACTTCCAGGTGTTGTGAGATCTGTGTCCACGAGGTGGCAGCAGAGTGTCGGTGCAGGGAGGGAGGGGCCGTCCCCGGGCCTGCCCACCCAGGAGACCTGCTGTGCTGGGTGTGGTGGTTAAGTCTGTGTGTCCACTTGGCTGGGTCTGGTTGAATGGCTGGGCAGCTGGTGGTAGTTATTCCCCATGATGAGACTGGCAATCAACTCCATGGTGGGATCTACCACAAGCAGCTGAGTAGCTGCCTTAGGGATGTGGTCTGCTTCCTGTATATAAGCAGAAGCCATGGGGATGGTCTCTAGCCTATGGCACGCTTGGACCCTGCATGTAGCCGTGTCACTGCTCAGCAGCCTGCTACGCTCTGCCGACCTTGAGACGTACGATGGACTTACAATGGCCTGCTGTGTTGTTTGGTAACATCGGGACTGTGCCTTTTTACTTGTCAACCTTGGGTTTCTCAGCCTCAGCAGCCAGCAGCTGTCTGAGTGAAGAAATGCCTCTAGCTGCAGTGGGCCGGGAGCAGGAGGCAGAGCTGGACCTCAAGGTTGAGGGGCTTTCACCCAGCCCCTAGAGCCTGGCACTTTGAACTCGGACTTAATGCCTCCAAACTGTAAGAGAATAAACTCCTGTTTGTTTAAGCATCCCATGTGTGGTATATTCTTGTCAGAGCAGCACTAGGGAACCAGAACACTGGGGAACGCCGGTGCAGAATGGCGGGATGCAACCCCACACACCTCCCCACTCCTGGGAGGCGACCGTAGGCCTATGTCCCACTGTCCTCCCCTGTCAAACACATCTAACCCTAAGACCCCTCATTCCTGACCCACAGGATCTAGTGCATAACACAGTCACTGTTTGAAGGCCCTAAGCACTGGGCAGCTGATCCAGGGGCCAGGGCAGAAGCTGAGTGACCAGGAGTTCTATTTTCGGCAGGGTCCCTGGCAGGAGATAGGCATTTGGGAGTCACCAGACTGAAGGTATTTAAAGGCACAGCCTGCAGACCCCCAGGGAGTGGGCTTGGACAGCGGGAGCATCCGGTGGGAATCAGCAAGGGAGGGTGGGCTTCTGGGAGCCAAAGGATTAAGGGGAGGGATTGGTCAGAACCCATATTCCAGCTCATAGTGACCCCGCCGGGTTTCCAAGGCTGTCAGTCTTTACAGAAGCAGATTGCCTCACTGTTCTTCTGCAGAGCAGCTGGTGGGTTCAAAGCTTCTGGTTAGCAGCCAGACACCCCCCCCCACCGCACCACAGGTCCTTGAACTGAACGTTACAGGGCTAATATCCCTGGGTCAGCAAGGCCCTGTTCCTTCAGCCTCCGGGGGGACCCGTCCTGCCCCTTTCCAACTCCTAGAGGCCTCCGCAGGCCCAGCCCACGGCTCTCCTCCATCTTGACAGCATGCCCCCACTGTGCTTCTCCCCGTCACGGCCGCTCTGCCTCTCAGCCTCCCTCCTCCCTCTGGAAGGAGCCTGTAGCTGCACTGGGCCCACTCGGGCCATCCGGGACCACGTCCCACGTCTCAAGATCCTTAACACAGTCACATCTGCAAAGCTCCTTTTACCACCTGAAGGAGGCTCTGGACTGAGCTGTGGCCATCCCCGGGGAGGCATTACTCTGCTGACCACCACCCACCCTCCGCCCCCCAGAGTTACACCCGCCCCACTGCAGAATGCATCCACCCCATTCCAGGGCTCCAGAGTCTCAACTCTAGCAGCCACTCATGCCCAAGCCTCACGCACACCTCCCCAGCTGCGACGCTCCAGGTCCCATCACCGGAATCAGGAGTGGAGAGGCTCCCAGCCGAGGCCGGGGGGTAGGGAGAACACAGCTTCGGTCACTGAAGGTCACTGATGGGCGCGAACTCTCTGCCGTCCCTCTATCCCAGACTGCCTCAGAGGTGGGCCTGGACTCAGAGCCTGATCTTGCCCTCCTTCCTGCCCTTCCTTGGGATAGGGGCTCCCCAGGGGCCCCCCAACTCCGTTCTCACAAGGTTCTCTCTCATCACAACACTTAAGACCCCAGTGGGTGCCATGCCCGTTCCACAGATGGAGAAAATGAAGCCTACAGGGAGCCTGGGCTGAGCCTGCGCGACGCTCAACCTTTGGGATCACGGCTCCACCCCCATCTCCAACTCTGCCTGCTCCCCACCCAAAAAGCCATCACAGACAAGTCAATTACAACTCACAGCGACCCTACAGTACAGAGAGAACAGGCCCATAGGGTTCCCGAGGTTGTCACATCTTTCTCCCACAGAGCAGCTGGTGGGTTCAAACCAGAAACTTTCTGGTTAGCAGCCCAACGCCTTAACCACAGCGCCACCGGAGCTCCTCGCCTCCCCCAAGGGCTCGGCTTTCCCAGAGGCCACCGAGAAGCCGAGTCCTCCAACGTGCCTAGAGCGCCCCCGGAAGTGGCAGGGGGAAGGCGGAGCGGCGCGGACCGGCGAAGGCAGAGCGGTCGGCACTTCCGGCCAGTGGAGACGGCTCGGGGTCCGGAGGGTGAGTGGGGCCCGGGCGGAGGCGCGGGGCGCGGGGC